GAGCGGCCGACGTGATACACCCTGAGCGACATAGATTCCTAATGAATGAGTAAATATAAAGTAAAGAGTTAACTAGAATAATCAAATGTCAGAAGAATACTAATTAGAAACAGACAAACAACCAATCTGCATTTCAACCTAAATTCGAGGTCATAATAAAAAGGAGTCAGATTAAATAATGAAATGGAGTCAGATTTGAATTTAACCTAAATTTAATAACTTTGCGCACTAAAAAAAACTAACACGCAGGAAACCTTCATTCACCATTGGATACCTCCCTTGGGCCAATTCATGGACCTTACATAAGTATTCTGCTATACTGTTTTAAAGATCTCACAGATTTGCAAGCTATCAGATTTTCATCTTACTTTTTGGCCATATAAATATCAGCAACTGCACCAAATTTTATATTTTTGCTTAGTTTGAGCCTCTGAATAAAATTGAGGTGTTTTCTTCCTCCTTGTGAGTATGAGCTCCATAATCTCCTATACCATACTATATAAGACATAAAAGCCTCATGTTTTTGTATCTTTTGCCTGAAGGCTCAATAAAAAAAAAATAAAATAAAAAAAAATCTTACAATTATTTCATGTTAGCCTTCACAGGGTTAAATTTTAAGTGTTATTAAAAATTAACTGAACTGAGCATGCACAATTAAATATTCAATATCGACCAACACCAAATAAAATTTTAAAACCAATACGGTGCCAGTTTATTGCACATTCCTGGTGATATTTCTTTGAGATGTCAAAAGTTTGGCAGACAGATCGACCTACATCAGCAAGTCAGTAAAAATGCTGAAATTGAATGAAACTAATGAAATTGGCAGACCTTTCTGTGCTGGCGTATGTATGTTACCTTGGTGTTCAGTAGAAGCTCTCTTTTGATGTCTTCAATTCTCTGTCTGTCCTCAGCGTTTAGTTCTAAGCTTTCACATCGGCGGCCAAAAACCTTCATCAGGATCCATTCTAAAGAGACAGACCAAATCCAGTTATCCACAAAGTAAAAACCACTGACAACTTAAGAAAAGCACCACTGGTACTGTCAAAACCTGTATGACTAAGCGTCCTTTTAGACAAATCACTGTGTTTACCTCGTGCACAGCTATCTTCTGGATCACTGGTGCTTGGCCGGCTTGTAACCATTGAACCGGGTGACTCACTCTGCAGGAGCTTGGCAACTCTGGCAGCCAATGAACTCTCGCTGCTACTGTCACTCATACTTTCAACCTCAGCTGAGACATGAGACGAATTATTCTCAGAAGAGCCAATCACAGCATCCTCAGTCTGGTCCTGGTTTTCTGCTATCGAAGGAACATTTATCTGCATGGCAGATGTGACTGTAGGTTGCTTTGCCTTATCTTGGTCTGCAGCACTGCAGCCTTCAGGTTCAGCCCGCCTTGGGGTCACACAGAGGTCACGTGACTTCAAACTTTCCTCTCTGCTCAAAGAGAGAGCGGTAGGCTCTATAGTTGTGCGGTCAATCTGTTGAGGCCTTTGGGAGGATGACAAGCTTCCTTTCAAAGCTGAATCTGAAGAAGAGCGAGTTAGCAGCAAAGAAAGATTCCCACCAGCTGACAGAGATGTGTCATCATGATAACCTTGAATGTTCCGTCCTAGTGAGACAAGGGATGTGTCACTCTCTGAGAGGCGGTGTGAGCCGGGAGAGGAAGTCAGAGAGGATCGACCAGAAACCAGGCTTTCTGCCCGGCCCAGCAGATGTCTGATTTCACGCAGTGTGCCAGAGCCAACAAAAGAGTCATCATCCTTCTTTACTACCTCTCTGGGACCTTGAGGAGGCATGGCTTCTGAGCTGATTTGGCTAGTAAGACCAAAGCTTCCTTCACTTTGTGGAGCATCAGACTGTTGTAGGCTTGATGAAGGATGAACTGTTGAATTAAGTCTTGGTGGAGTATCCACCTGGCTGAACATCTTCTTCACAGTTCTGTCACTGGCTGGTTGGCCTTGCTCATGCACTGACAATCGGTGTGTGACAGAAGCACTGGAGTCAGCTGAGAGCTGACTAGAACTGGAGAATGTCTCCTTCTGAAGACTGTCAACTATATACACAGAAAACAAAACACATCATTATAATATGACCAGATACATTATACAAATGAAGCCAACAATATCTTAACTCAATAACTTTAACAGGGCACCCTCTAACACTAGCAGCATTCTCTATTCTTTTGACATGTTTTATTTTTATTAAAGGGGTCATATGATGCTGCTAAAAAGAACATTATGTTGTGTATTTGGTGTACCCTTTAACAAAAGGGTTCCCTATTATTTTTCTATTCTATCTACTTGTTTTCTTGATAATATAAAAAAAACCTTGCTACGTGTACTGCGTTAGGCTAACTGAGATTTGTCACAGCACTTACATATTATTGCTCTTTTGATGGTTTTTGATTGCTTCTATTGTCCTCATTTGTAAGTCGCTTTGGATAAAAGCGTCGGCAAAAATGACTAAATGTAAATGCACAAAGATGTCAGACATCTTTAGCTCACCTTCAGATGGCTGTGTGCTTTTAGTTGGTGTTCCTATGGAGCCTTTGATGGTACATAAGTCAGTAGGAGAGAATTCAGGCTCTCTGATTGGTCCGCGATGAGTAAATGGATTTAAGATTGTTGAAGGTGACTGGTCAATACCCAAATTTAAAAGGTACAACTATAAAACAAAAAGACATAAAACAGAATAATAAGATATCTATCAGGGTAGAAAAACTACTTACAAAAATCACCCTGATTGAGCTATGCAATATCGCGTTCATAATCGCAGATGAATCACCTTTGATTATGAACGCGATATTGTGTAGCTTGTCAGTGAACTACGGCTCTGTGTAGTAAATGCCGCTCCATCTGAAAGCACGTGATGGAGATTTACTACTAATCACAGAATCGGCTTTACTGACGAGATGCGCATGACAATCGCATGCGATTTATCGTGCAGCCCTAATAGAAAGGGAATTTCATTTAATGCCGAATTTAAATGCATCCTACAAGTTCTTCTAGAGCACTGTGAACTTACAGGGATCCTGTCTTCAATGTTGAGTTCCCTAGTGTGAGGAGGGGATGCAGGTCTGGAAGTCCAGTAGGGTGCATAATTATCTACTTCAAGACTCACTACTGAAGAGGTGGCTCCCACTGATGCCCGCATACTCTGCTCACCATGGCAGCTGCCTTGAGAACTTGAGAGAGTGCTGCTCATGTTGAGGTTTGATGACACGTCACTGAAGCGCCCCAGACTGAGGAAAGGAGACATCTTGACTGAGCTTTTATCCATGTGAGGAGCTGAGCTATTTTTTCCTTCACCCCTTCCACCTGAAACGAAGGACGACTGATAGTCCAATGATCTGGTAGCTGGAATGATGTTATTAAATTGTGCTACTGGAATTAGCTGATTGTGTGGACCAGTGTCTCTCAGAATAGAGGTCACCACAGAGCTCAGGGAGGAGTGAGAGTGTGAGCGATTGACAGGTGACTCAGATGCTTGTCCTCTGCATGCACCCGTCCCAACTACATCCACCCGACGGGGTGAGCCACTTCCAGAATGAGAAGAGGAAAGTGGCTGAATCATCTGGGAGCTGGGATTAGCACCAAATGTCAGACGCGTGTCTCGAGAAAGCTTGTGGTTAAGTGCTTCAGAAACAACATCCTGTGCTTTTTTCTTGGGCGACACACCATCAAACCCCTGTAGTGCCAAATTATCATAAAACGACCTGCTAGAACTTTGATTGGCTTTCCAGGCATCTACTTTCTGTAAGTAGCTCAGACTGGGAAGAGAATGTACTCTCCCAAGGGCCAAACGAGGAACCTGATCTTTCATCTCTGCACCAGAGTAAAAGTGCTGAGTGTCGGAGTGAGGTGTATCAGAGTGTGGATTTAAAACAGGAGGAGGAACTTGCTCGTTTGAAATGGGATGGGCATGTGACATTTTTTGCGCAGTCTCTGAAGGTACACTAGGAACTGTAGCTGTTGTTTGAGAGTGAATGGGAGAGGAACGTTGATCGCTTAGGTTCAACGATGGAATTAAGCCAGTTTTGGAGTGACTGTTTTGGGAGGATGTAGCCGCAGAAGCAACAGCCTCTTGTTTGGAGTGTATGAGTGAGAGTTTGGTCAATGCTGGTGGGGGTCTCATGAGAGGTAGTGCAGGTGTGGACTGAGACACAGGCTGAGAGCTCAAGAATGAACCATCTGCTGCTGTTAGATGACCGGAGCTCCAGAGCACTCTCTGCAGACCTGGTACATGCAACAAACCTTCACCAGCTGGTGTGACACATATTCCACTATGAGAGCTTTTGTTCCCACTATGGTGCCTACTTGCTGGTGCCGAGATGGAGCCTCTTTGTCCTGCAGACAGAAGCTGATCATGGAGATGGTCAGTTGTTTGGTGTGAATGCATCCGTGAATCACGAAAAGTTATATTTGAAACATCTGCAGCCTTCTGAAATGAAGATGATAATGATAATGAGCCCCCTTGGGGCTGCTCTCTGCCTTTTTGAAGATTCATGGAAGGATCTAACTGGCTTTTGTCTGTGTTTTGGTGAAGTGAGGCAGGTTCAGAGGTGGAGGAAACGGCACTGCTGTAACTAACAGCCACAATAACATCCTCTTCCCTGGACTCTAACAAGAGCCGAGTAGACATTCCCTCACTAAGCTGCTGAGCAGTGGTCTGCTCCTCTCCTTCCATATGTCTGCTGATTTTGTCCTCAGCACCATAAGAAACGCTCCCTTGATCCTCAAGCCCTTTGCAATGGTCTCCAGGTGACAGGCTGTGCTGGGAGAGTGAGCAGCAGCTTTTTTCACCTGACGGGGCTGTTGGTACCTCCAACGGATGCTGGGAAAGTGCAGCCTGGTCAAGAATAGTATTTTGGTGGTGGGAATCATCAGTTACAGCTACATTTGAAGTCCTGGGGCATCTCTCAGTCATAACTGAGAAGTCAGGAAATCCCCTGTGTGCACAAAAACAATAAAGAAAATATTATCTAAAAATACAAAAAGGTGAAGAACAATTTGAACATGACTAATCAAACAGTACCGAAGAGGGACAAATTCTGCATCTTTATGCTGAAAAAATGTGGAGTCAGAAAGAAGGTGAGATTTGTCCAGGCAGGGATGCAGGGTAAGTGCAGGTGACAACTGGCTATCCTGAAACTCTGAAAAAGAAAATCAATTAAATAATTATAAATTACATATAATAAATGTCATTATGAAAAAAAAAAAAAAAAAACATATAGGAGCTAAAATGCTTTTGGCATGAAGTAATGTACAGTGAATTTCAAACATCCGAATTTTTTTTCCCCAAAATCTAAACACTGTGTTTATTTAGTTTTAAATTGGAATCCCAGATTTTCAATGACTTTAGATCTTTGAAGCCCACTGTATAAAAACACCTGCTCTCTGTACCCAGTTGTAAAGTCTCAGATCTGTCTATGAGTGGCTGCATGCTTGAATCCTGAGTGTTACTAAATGGTCTTTCATCATTGTCAGGATCTGTGTATGGTCTGCTAGCCTCTGAATCATGCATATTTTGTCCATGCTGCTGGCAGGGAATCTCTGCAGGGGGCTGGAAAGGTAAAAAGAGAAAAGGTAAACTTGAGTGTCTGCAAGAATGCTCCAATTTTTAATGGTTGCAAGAGAAGTTTAAGAAAGTTCAAAGAAGTACTTTAATGGTCCTCCACATAGGCACAGCCTAAAAAACAAAAATGTTTACTTAAACGTTTTCTTGGATGGCCTGAGGGTAAATTTTCATTTTGGGTTAACTATTCCTTTCTACTGTATTCTTAGCTGAATTTAAGTTAGTCAAATATCTGATTTATTATGTTTTCATTTTATTTCTGTATTTTCAGACTTATAACCACTGTACTCGAATTTCATCTTCGTTATACAATTTGATTTCTCATTCTCTCATCTACCTGAATCACACGGAATCATTAGGAATACATGTATCAAAGCATCATGCATGCAAGTGTCTGTACGTGTACTTCTGCCATCAATTACACATGACCAAAACAAATATATAAAACTGTTAAGTCCTGCAGTGAACAACTGCTACCCGCCAATCAGCCTGACCCAGCTAAGTTAGCAATTGATTAGCCAAAGAAATACAAAGCTGATTTTTTTTTAAAGTTCATCCAAGTATGCTCTCGTGCCTTTGGTTCAATGTTAACTATATAAAAAATAATCATACATTCACTGCCATCAAGTCATTGCACAGCCATTAGCGCTAACTTTGAACACTGCTCACTTGTTGCCATGCAGTGATAGTCGCTACAAGGTTATCCCGATTAGCTAACGTTAGTCATGTAGGAATTATATCGCAGGCTCGCACATTCCAGAATCAAAAACACGCAATTAAGCCATATTTCTACTTTTATTACGAGACCGCGATTTCCATCTACTTACATTGTTTACGTCTGCTGCACAGCCCTCTGAATCCATGTCGTTACTGACGCAGACGTTAAGGCGCATGCGCACTTGTTTGAAATAACCGGAGTTTGAATTAACAGTGAGAGTAAAGAAATATAAACACGTTAGAATGTGTAACTGGTATGTAAAACAGTACCAATAACAAAATGTACTGAGTTATCTTAAGCTAACGGAACTTTCTCTAAGCATTCTGTTAAACAGAAAAACGTCATAGCCGCAGCGGTTTAGCTGACAACATTGGAGTCAGTAGCGCTTCGCTTTCAGAACAAAAATGACGCTGTTGCTATGGCAACAAGAAAAGCCCGCAGAGTTGCGCGGGATTTGAGAGTATGGAAAATACTAAACTTTATTTATACATTGCCGCAGAGTGTTTTTTCCCCCTTTGTTGTTTCTCGACATAACCAGTAATCTAATGGTTCAAGCTGCACTGGATTTATGTGGGAAACGTCATTTGATGTTTGAAACAAACATTATGAATGAGTGCTTTAAAGCTAAAATGTAAAAGTCCCAAATTACCTTAAACTCTTTACCAACGATGTTTAAATTTTAAAATGACCGTTAATAAGTTGACTTTCAGTGGCTCAACTATTATATTATTCCAGTTTTAAATTTTCTTGCATTTTCTTAAGACTTACATACATTATCTGAAACTATATCTATCTTGCCTATCTTTTTTGAATTTTAATAGTTTCCATCAATTGTTTATCAGTAAGACATATAATTAACATGCAAAAAATAAACCCAGAGCGGGGGAAAGTGTTTACATTAAAGTATATAGCCTGTGTTAGATTTGACAGACAAACGAATATTTTTCACAATATGATATAAACGCACTCGTCTTTTTTATTTCAATGTAAAGATATTTCTCTCGCACCACGTGGTGCACTTTGAGCGTTCTACGCATATATGCGCATGCGTGTGAGTGCGCGCTGTGTGCAAAGGTGGAGAAGAATCTCGAGAAAACACTACGTTTGGAAGGAATGTTAAACCATTTGGAAGTTACTTAAATATTTTATAATTTAGAATTACGTAGTTTCATATATATATATATATATATATAAATATATTCGCTAAAATGTCCAGAAAGAACACCATAGGACCAGGTAATTTATTGCTCTGCTTTTGTTTTAATGACGTCTACCAAAACTTCGCCTGCTCGCCAAACACATGTAGCTCTAATAACAATAGAGAAGACGTGTCGTTTAACAATACGTGCTTGAAAATGGTGCCGAATTTGTGAAAGAGTTAGCCATTTCTTGTTATAATCATGCTGTCTTGTGAATCGAGTGTATTTTATTTATTTATTTTTATTACAAACTAATTTTAGTAGTATACGAAAGATCAGTCATGCTTTGATGGCATATTCAGGATTATACCACACAATTCACTATTTGTGTGTCTCCGTCTATGTAAGGTGTGTTCAAACTTTAAAATATGTTTTTCCAATGACTCTTTAGAATACTTCCGGCTGCGTGATAATGAGCGCCTCATGCGGACTCACGTAAGTCATTACGTTTCTGTAAATTCATTTATGGGATGAATCAGCATTATTTTTGTTAATCTGGTGTGTGTAGGTTTTAGTCTATAACTACTATTTTCTGTGCTGTTTTTTTTTTAGGAGGCAATGGTCGATTTTATAAATGATAGACCTACAAACCACAGCTTTTTAGATGCCTTAAGTTTTGGTTATGGGTTTGGTAAGACATGTTTTATCTTCTTGGCACACGCCCCAGTAGTCATCCATGGTCACTTAATTAAAACCTGTTGTAGAGCAGGTTTAGAATAATTTAT